TGAAGGCTTAAAGAAAATAGAAAAAGAGTTTGATTTTTGGTAACTGTGTGAAAATTTAATAAAGAGAGGATCAGTAGATATGAAGTGTATTTTTATATTAAATCCAGAGTTTGTAGAATAAAGTAAACAATGTGCTTTTTAAACATTTCCCCTTAATATCAAAACAGAAGGAAAGGCATTTGCTTTTACTTACAATCTCAAATACAATCAAATTCCCTTCCTTTATGTGTTACATTAACAGACATTAGTATTAGTAATTAATATCAATTAATATGTTTGCTTTCCACTTAAGCCAATCTCTTACATTCAAAAACCAGAAATGAAAATAAACTTTTTTAAATTCTAGGGGTATGAATCTAAACTTCTATGCATCACAAAATTTTTCTGAAGGATGGCTTAGAGTTAGCTAGTGTGTCAATAAATGAAGACTTTGAAGAATCACTTTTTGAAGATAATTGCTAGCTACTTTTTCTTTAAGCTTGCACTTGAGATTTCAAATTTTATTTTCCATCTATTTCCTAAGGAAGCAGGTACCCTACAGTTCCCATCACAAGCAAAAACAAGTTTTAAAGCACTCTAGACTAGGTTGGTACATATAAAATCTTCACCAAGTTTTTATAAGAACATGATTACAACACCAGAAATGGTTACTTAACAAACAGCTCTGAGATTAAACTCAGATAAGAAGGCCAAATTCCAGAAAAGCTCACCCTGGCACATATTGGTTTGCTCCAGAGACCCTGGATGCCCATCCCAGGTTAGAACAGATCCAAACTTCCAGGGCCTTCTCAGACCCACTCCCTCTCTATTAAGAGAGGAGCATCCTCATCTTCACCTGGGGGATGGATAAGGTTAGTTTGCGGCAGCCTAGTGTCTGGTCTAGAGCAACACAAGTGACACCAGGGACAAAGGCGTACTGGGGCAGTAGCGAGATTTGATCACGTGTTACGCAAACTGAGCAACCGCAAATGAACAGGATGCGTAGACTTGCATGAATGGAAAATGTATGATTCTTCATTGTCATTAAAGGGGCTGCTTTGGATAGCAGTGGGAGATACATTTAGAATTTTTGAGAGGGGCAGTCTCATACCCATCATACTCATTGTTTTTGCTGTTCCTCCTCTTTTTCTTCATCATCTTTTCTTATTGGTTGAGAGCCTTAGCCTCTTCTCTTAACTTGAAGAGTATCTGCCAGCACAAAAGTCAACAAACTCACAGGAGACAAAAGACATTCTTGGTTTGACTGCTCCTAATAAACTTCAGTGCTTCCAGACCACACAATGTCATAGAATTATTTGTAAGGCTTCTTTAAAAGGGTGACAGGGTTCAGAAATAAACTGCACATGGTAAGAAGAGCCTCCCATGGGTTATTCCTGCAAAATGAGCTGCAGGGCTTCGGGAGTGGTGGTGGTTTCCGGCCATTAGCGTTACTAATCAAGGCCAGCTCTGCATTTATGGGAATCTACACCAATCATGATGATAAACCCTATGTTCACTTAAGCAACTCTGCCTGATTTCTTCAAGGTTATGCTCAAACTAAACTTTACTCCAATTATCTTTGATTGTAATGCTTCATCATTTTTACATATCCTTGAGATAGAGTCCATGAAGAGGATGCATTAGGGCCAGAGGTCACAAAATCACATTTTGTGCTTCATGCCCCCACAAAGCAATTACTGTCAACTCTCAATTAACCTCGTTATCGGAGAAAGCATTAGTGTAGAAAACACAAATCCTAGATAACCGGCCCGTGTCTTTCTTGCTGCCATAGTTGCAGCTAAGGTGAGAGAGAGATAATGGGAGTGCCAGGAAAAGCTCGGGGCTAAGAGGTCTCTTCAGGAAAATTTGAGCAGAGGTGATATATTCAGTTGCCACTCTGCCCCCTTTTTATGCCCTGCACCAGGAAGCAAAAATAGCACTGCTTTCCCAGCAAACTTCTGGCTGACAAACAAAAGACATGGGGCAGAAGAAGCCAGGAGAAAGCAGTAGGGGAGGAACACCGTGAGGTTAGCAGTCACCTGGCAGTCAGAGCCAAGAGGCCTCTGGGGACCATGTCAACCAAGCAACAGGGTGAAAGGTGTTTAATCACAAATGTTATAATTAATCACTTGCACACATGCTTACACTACGGATTTCTACAGGTATAATGACATATCCATCAGGTCCTGGGCATTAATGCCATTCCCATCCTTCCGATGGAGGGTACCCTTTAGGCTGGACACCTCCCTCCTCTTCAAGTGATTCCTAGTGGCATTGCTCCAGGAAGGGTTCAAATTTTAATCAATCAGGAAGAAAATCTTTAGTGATAAACATAAAACTACAGTGGAATTCCAGAACCTACTGAGCAGTTGGGGGCTCTGGGGGGAGACACAGAAGGGGCAGGGAAAATTCTCTGAAGTCACAGCAAAGACAAGGGCACACTGGAAAGAAAAGCTGGGAAATAACTTGGGAGAAAGAAAGGTGAAAACTCATAAAATTATGTATTTTAATGAAAAAAATGTTTTGCATTAAAATGCTTAAAAAGAGCCAAATTCATATCCTCTGTAAATATGACTTTGCAATAAAATTAATGGGGTCTGGGAAGAAGCCATTTATCAGTTTTTTTTTTTTTGCCTCAGAATGAATTTCTGTGTATTAGAATGAGAAATTAGGTAGAAATTGGGTAAATAGACACAAAAAGTCAAACGACAGGGTAAGATAGAAACAATGGGAAATGTAAGGAGATTCCCAGAGAATATTGGCCAGGATTCTTCTTAATATTAAAGAGGCAGAAAGACAGAGAAAGAGAGAGAGAAGTGTAACAGAGGGACTTCAAAAAAGTTCAGGAAAAATAGAAGACTAGTGACTATAACAGGGAAAGTGATTCATAATAACAGGGAAGATTATGAAAAATGTAAATATTGACTATAAAATATCAATGAGCAAGAAAACAATGAGTTAAAAGAAATCAGTGAAGCTGTACCTCTCTGATTCATTATTTATTCTTTAAATTCTTCTGACAAGCTCATCATTCAGGGAAGGTGCATATATATGTAAGGGAGATGTGATATTATGACTTCTGGTTAAAAAAGGCAGGGGAGGTGATATTAAGGTATTATTACTACTCTTCTCTCTTTCAAAACACAGAGAAAACAACAAAAATATGAAACATGGAGGAAAATATCAGAAGTAATCAAACAAACAAACAAAAAGGCATTTATTCTTTTTACAAACCATGAAGCATTCATGGCCTAAATTCAAGAAGGATACTGAAAATATCTGAAGTCTCGAGCAGGTGCAAAAAGTTTCCAGCCAAAGTTATGTCAAAAACGTTTAAAGGGCATACGCAATGAGCCTTTGAAGAAAGGGGCAAGATGCACAATTGAAGCCCTAGAGACACAGGTTGTCCCCACATAACGGGAGAGGCAGAGCCAAGAGAAAACAGGTTACTATTGTAGTATTCCTGTTTACTTTTGTGTTGTGTTACTTTGTATTTGTCCAGGCAAGGAAGACTTCCAGAGGCAATGACATGCCTACAGAAATTCCAAGAGAGTAAGCGGGTTAAAAAAACAAAAATTATACAGACTTAGATTTTCTAGATAATTCTCTCATGCAGAAAATATAAGCCTTTACACTTTATACCAATGGAAATTTTCTCTTAGATGACTATTCTGATATAAAGTATTTGAATTTTATATGGCAAGTCCAAAGAAGAAAATATTAAAGAATACATAAAGCATTTAACTCTGTTATGTTAAGCAACGGAATTTGAGAGATTTGCTAGATGGCTTCAATCTGAGTCCCCATGTAAGTTTTCAGAGGGTAGGATGAGGGAAGCAGCAGTAGTATGACCAGATTATAACACTTCCCTTGTGTTGCTGAAAAGAGCCAAGGGCTATTTTGTCCAAGAAAATACAACTCAGTACATAGAAAAAGCAATTCAGCGATAGTCTAGGTGCCTACTAATTGGTCTTAGAACAAGCACATAGAGGCTTCTGCCACCTATAGATCTGGCAAATATGAACAGGAGCCATTGGAAGGATTTTAAAAACAACTCTCTGACTGCCTACAATGGACCTTGGACTTGGTACATATGCTAGCCCAGGTCACTTGGGCTTCTGTTTTTCTCAGAAATCAGCTGGCAAACAAAAGGTGTGAATTTGAATTAGGTAACACACTCTTACTTGTCCTCCCAGTTGAGATTTACCAGTCTCTCATTCTTCTCTTGGCTATACAAAGGTTAAAATCTATACAATCTCACAGGGCCCCGGCCCTTTAAAGAAACATGGTTTAGGTGCAGACATGAATGATTAACAGAATTGTGAAGCAAGTTAAGTTATGGAGGAAATCTAACTGAAAACAATGAAAATCAATGAAGCCAGTACAGACCCAAACATTAAATGGCATTTACTTAAGTGATATTAGCTAATGGCACAGTTGGGTAGTGAAGAAGCATGAGCTAATGCTGACTTCTCTCTCAAGTTCAAAAACACTTGAATGGTCATAGACCCAAGGACCATACATTTCAAGTCTGGGCTCCTTAAGAAACTGTTATGGGTTGAACTGTGTCCCCTCAAAATGCGTATGCTGAAGTCCTAACTCCTAGTACCTCAGCCTGTATTTGGATGTAGGTCCTTTAAAGGGGCAATTAAGGGTAAATGAGGTCACTGAGGGGCTCTTATCTAATATGACATGTATCCTTATAAGAAGAGGAGATTAAGACATGGACACACATAGAGGGAAGAGTATGTGAAGACATGGGGAGAAGAAGGCCACTCACAAACCCAGGAGAGAGGGCCTCAGAAGAAATTGACCCTGCGGTCACCTTCATCTCAGACTTCTAGCCTCTAGAACTGTGAGAAAATAAATTTCTGTTAAGCCACTCAATCTTTGGTGTTTTGTGATGGCAGTCCTACCAAACTAATACAGAAACTTCCTATAATGAGCCCTTTTTTCTCTTAGAAGTCTGACATAAGACCCAAATTTCTTTTGTGGTTAAATACATTGTACGTCATACTCACAACCCCAACAGGAAAGGCCAATACGGCTAACATCCAGTCCCGGAGAGAGATGAGCTTCTTGAGTTGTCTCTCTTGTTCTTGGTTCCCACTTCCTCTAGTCAGAAGACTGGAAAGATCGGTGAGCACACAGATGCCAAAAAAGACAGCCTGGATAACCTGGAGGGAGACAACAGCTGGTGTTGGTAAATGAGATTTAAAGAGATCTAAACTACAGGACAGCAAATAAGCTACACCTTTGCAATAGACGCATGATAAGATCAGAAGCACATTTAAAGAGCTGGCCCTACAAATAAAAGAGTAAGATGTTTACAACTTGCAATCATAGGTGAGAAAATTCAGCTTAAAAACACTACTACCATTTTTGCTCATCTCAGGACAAATGCAAAACCTGTATGCACTCACCTCTAAATAGGCCCAACGGAAAGCAATACCAATTATCAAAATGACACGTCCATTATTTTAACACACATCTGTGGTCTATTTTATATTGACTAGAGGGTTTAACAAACGTCTAAGAAGTGCAAAGAAAAGGATAAGCGTGGTCTGAATAATAAATGAGACAATTTAGTCTGAACGTGAAGAAACCTTCCCATGATTTAATCTCTTAGAAGTTTTTCCACCAAAGGAAGTGGTAGAAAGCTTCTAGCCCTTGAGTCATAGAGAAATCAACTGAATGCAACAATCAAGACTGATACAGAGAAATTTTCTGTTGTCAGACTTAAACTAAATTACCTCCTTCTCAGCTTTCCAGTTTCTACGAAATAAAATCTTTCCAAAGTAATGTCAACTTAGATACCCACACCATTTCCCCCCAAAAAGTGACCAGTTGTACACTCCCAAATCAATTACAAATCGAATTACTTACATCAGCTATGTTTTACTTGGACTATCACAGAAGGAGAACACTGAAACACTACAGCCCAATAATTTGTGAAATCTAAGTGAGGGTAAAAGTATTGATGACCCAGAGCTGTGACTGGAGACAGGCCACATACTGGAATACAGCTTGGCAAATGATCATTCAAATTATGGAAAGGGCAGAAAATATATTCCCTGGGCTTAAAGTCATACTCATTTAGCACCAAGAATAGACTCAAGGGAATTTTTCTGGCTTCTTCTTCAAGAAATAATTTACAGATGATATATTTGTATAAGATACAATTTTACTCATTACCTGTTTAGAAAACATAACAATTTTTTTTTGTAAATTTCCATGTTGGCAGTGGAAAGAATCTGTGAAAGCTCTGTGGATGGGTTCCTCACTGAGACACAGAACAAAGGGAAGAAGGACCCTCAAAATTACCTGGTTCCATTCCTTAGCATAGCACTGGCACACTCAGATTATTTGTCATTCTGTTCAAATGCTTATCTAAGCCATTTTGAAAATTCCCAATAATGGAGATTTCATCACTGGGCTCAGTCAAATAAACAAAAACTCTGCAGCGTTTTTACATATAATACACTGGGCTCTTTGGAGCTCACCAAATCCTGCTGTTTTTAGTCAATCGTAGCCAGAGTAATGTTCTACTCTTCCTCATAACATAGCCTATCTTCTAGCTCCGATGACTTAAGGTTTATTGTTGTTCTTTCTACAACCAGAAAAAACACAGTAGGAGAGGCTAAGACTGACACAACTGAGCCTGGCACAATTGAAGTGCTGGCAAGGATCATGTTGTGATGACCAGAAATAATTTAAATGACTCAGGGAATAATTTCATACTTCGGAAAATTTTCCATAGCATATCTTATGACTTTAGATGTTAGATCTTTATGTCAACCTCCATGGGGTTTGAGAAATTGGAGTGGCCATACTGGGGATAATAATTTCCATGCCAATCTGGCCAGTGGACATATTTAAAGGTACCCTACCTGATCAATAAGCAGGGAAATGCAGATTTAGATCACAACGAGATAGTATTTCTCATCCATATAATTATTTACAATTGAATTCTGACATAACCAAGGTTATAGGAATATACAATAACCAGAAACTGTATAATGGGAACACAAATCAGGACAACCACTTTGAAGATCAATTGGCAATATCTAGTAATTTAAGGATGCATATACTCTATTACCTAGTGGCTTCACTATGAAAAGATTTTCCTACGTAAACTCTCATACATGTGTACCCGTTACATCTACATGAAAGTTAATTTCAGCATTCATTGCTTCAAAAAACTTGAAACAATCTAAACATCTTGTAATAGTTGACTAGATAAATAAATTGTGCTATCTTCATGTAATGGAATTCTAAGTATGCATCAATTTTTCATTCTCACAATAAAACATTAAACAAAAAAAAGGAAATGAAAAAAATGCCACATTTTGACACCATTGAAATAAATTTCAAAAACTGTAAAGATAAATTTAAAGGTGCATGTATATGAAGTAAAATATGAAGAAATACACGGAATTAGTAACACTGAATTCAGCTACCTCTACAAAGAGGACATGATTGGGGGAAGGGCACAAGAGTCTCAATGTGTAAATAATATTTTATTTCTTAGGTTTATTACCGGGTATATTAGAAGTTTATTGTATTATTCCCTGAAATATTTCCAAATGATTTAAAAATAAAAGGTAAAAAAAGAGTGATTTTCATAATTTCAGGATACAGTTTGACTAGTCTCTTTCAATTCCTTTTCTTCCAACTCAGGATCCCCTAGTTTTAAAGATTGGCTAATAACAGCAGGATTTAGTGAGCTCCAAATTAAGTGAATTAAGTGAATTTTAAAATTCTATGATCAAATAACTAGTACCAGATTTGCCTTCTCACCATAAACAGATAGACACTTGGACTAAACATATAAATCAACTTTTTCATATATTGGACTTTTTCCTCTGCAATCAGCCAGAGAAATCTCTTTTTTTAAAGGGCTAACCCGATGAGACTTTGGATAATCCTTCTTTTGCCATATAAAGTAATGTAATCACAGGATTGACTGTATTCACAGAATCTTCCAAAACCCAGTGGGAGGGGAATATACAAGAATTAGTGTCACTGAGGGTCATTTTAGAATTCTACCTACCACAAGCTGTAGGTTAAACAATTCTCAGAGCTCACTCAGGATGGAGGTATTCAAGTTCTAACCAATCAAACAGAGAGGTCTTGTTGACTACGACAGGAATTCAGTAGAGACCTAAGAAGTCTCATACTTAAATTGTGATGTTAAAATAGCCTTGGAATAAAGGCTACTTTAGATCCACCCCAACAATACTTCAAAAGAAGCCTCAAAAAAAATCAAGTCGATCTACAAGAAACTTAAATCCCTGCAAATACAAAACTCTACGTTATTTAAAGAAAGATAACAAAATCCAGACATTCAACAATATCCAACATCCAATCAAAAACTAGACATTCCACGAAGTAGGAAATACTTATCCAGGAGAAAACTCATTCAATAAAAACAAATATAGAAATGACAGAAACATTGGAATCAGCAGACTAGAACATTAAACAACTAAATTACATAAATTCAAGAAGTTTAATGAAAATAATGAGAGAAACAAAAGACATTGAAAAGAACCAAAGTGAATATTTAAAAATTAAGAAGACATTACCTGAAATTAAAAAGTCACTGGGTGGAAATAATAGCAGATTAGATACTGCAGAAGAAAAGATTGTAAAATTGAATACATAGCAATAGAAACTATCCAAAATAAATCAGAGAAAGAAAAAAGATTTTAAAAATTAACAGAACTTCAGTGAAATGTGAGAATATATCAAGCAGTCTAATATATGTGTACTAGAGCCTCAAAGGAGGAGGAGGTTATGTAGAAAAAATATTTGAAGAAATAATGGATAAAGTTTTTCCAAATTTCATGAAAACTATAAACCCACTTTTAAGTATAAAGATACAGATTTGCTAAAATGGATACAAACACTAATCATAAGAAAGCTGGAATAGCTATATTAATGTCAAAAAGTAGATTTCAAGACAAGGAATATTACTAAAAATAAAGAAGAACATTTTGGGTCAATTCATTAAAAAGGCATAATGATCTTAAATGTATATGTACCTAATAGCTGAACTTCAAAGCAGAGAAAGCCAAAACTGATTCAGCCAGGGGCTAAATTACTCAATAAATGTTTGTTAAATAAATGATTCACTGATTCTTCGGAAATAGATGCTTTTATGAAGATCTGAAAGGCAAGAAAAGGGAGGAACCTCAAAATGCAAAAAAAAAGGAGGGAGAAACAGAATCTCATATTCTAGAATAGAAAAACAAAAGAATTTCTACAAATATAAATGTAATAGTCTAAGCAACATTTTGCCAAATTTATAAGATCAACGGTCCATGAAGTCTCATAGTTTTCTAGAGTTGATTCATCTTCTTCTTATCCAGTGGAGCCATCCAACACAGTAGTTTCCCCTCACTATTACCTGGTGACTTCTCTGTCACTGTGTACAGACCTCTCCACTGGCTCTCTCCTGCTTGGGACCACAGTATGGCCCCCACCTCACCTGAACTGCTGTGGAAGACTTCTCCAAAGTAAGTATGTGGAGGTCAGGGAAAGGAGATACCACAAAATGTTCTTCTCCTAACTTCCAAACATCAGGAGACAGACGGAATTGTTGGGTTTTGTTAGTTAGTTAGTTAGTTTTGTTTTTTTTAACACATACTGACTAATCTTCAAAAGATAATCTCTAAAAATTACAGAACAATCCACCATTCCCTGGGGAGAAGCATGGATTGACTTTTGGTTATTTGCTCATTTCAGAAGCAGTTAGCCAATATGGTTAAACCACTTTAGATTTCTGCTACTTTATTAGAATTTGATTTGAGCTGACAGCTAACAAATCACATCAGAGACATTTTACTCTATTGCCTATATTTATCATGTTGTCATTGCAACTTAAAATCCATTAAACTAACTTGAGAATGTAGAAGTCATATGGAGATGCACAGTGAATCTTCAGTGGGATTACCTTGAAGCATTATTTGGTTCCAGCCACTCTGCAGAGCTGGCATTTCCAAACCATCAACTCAGCATGATACACATACACACCATCTGGCTCTGAGTTCTTAGCAGGCTGGTTGCTCTTATTATTTTGTATCACGTGTAGAAATGAAGTGGTCAAATGTACCATATCTCTCCAAGAAATATAAATAGGGATTTATCAGAATGAAAAAAAAAAAAATCCCAGGAT